TTTTCAGGCCAACGCTTCCCGGCTTTGGGAAGTCACGGAGAAAGTCATTACTATTAGAGACCCCTTAGTTGGCCACCCTACTTAGTTGGCCACTTGACTCCTATAAGACCAGGGCTTCATAATTATGACTCGGCATAATGTATGAAGAGTACGAGCAACGAATGTTCTGACCAAATTTCAGCCGACAGTGATCGGTTGATCGGGAGCGAGGGGATCACGGATCGGGATCCGAACCGTGGGGACATCAATTTCTTATCAACGCCTCATTTGCCATCGCTATTTCTCCACCATTTCCTCCTCGATCCAGGACTTTGGGGGCTCATTCGGATCCCCCAACGCTGGCCTTCCATCTGGGAAGATACTGGATGGCAACTTACTGGACTATCACTCGTAACACATGCGGGAAAAGCACGACTTCATTTGTAGGTCAGTCATGCTGGCACTGTCACGGTCCACGACACCACTATGCCATCGGTCTGTAACCTTACACAGGACTTCTAAATATACAATCCTTCATTCTGAGACCCTTTTCCAGATTTTATCCAATGAACTCTGATTGCTCTGGAGGTCATTGTCCAAAATCACGCAATGTCAGTCCTGCTGATAGTCAGATTTTTTTGGGGAGATGTCAGCAACTTGGAATGGAGTTGGGCATCCAGGTACGTCCAAATACTTCCCATCAAGTAGCCTGGATCCTAATGTGGCTCATCACAGCCTTTTTCTGAGTAGCAGAACACTCATTCATCCCGCGACCCCAATTTCGAGGTTTCCCGTCGATTGCAAGCATGTATTCTGCCCATCTCTATACCTCATATCTACACCATAACTGTTTTAAATAGTGAATATAACCTGTATATATGATTTTGAGTGCAGGCCATCGCCATTTGAGAGCTCAATAACATTAGTTGGCAGGGTGGCCAACTAACCTGTTGTTTGGCTATGTTGGACTGCCGGTCAAAATAAATTCCTTACGCACTCAAATTTTCGAGTATTTCACTGCTGGTGGACTCGAACTCTTCGTAGAATGCATGCCTTCATTCTGACATAGTTTGGCTTGCACCGGCGCCGGTATGACACCAGGGCTGCGGCATAAATGCTTAAGTGGCCAACTAATGGGTCTTAAATAGTAGGCAATCCTTCCAGTTCGGTGATATGTAACCAACCCCAGTCGAAGCAGCTTCACCATTACAGGCATACTGGACAGCTCTCTTTGTGTCCCGGGCCCCATGTAACTCCCGTCGAAAGTCGATGATTGAATTTGTAGAGCGTAAACTCTTGAACATCTCTACGTCCAACCAGACTTCCAAGGGTGGACTGTTTGTGGCCTGTTGAAATCCAGAGTGGCTTCGCACGTGAACACTGCAGCTCTACCGTTCAACTAGACGGTGACTGGTTGGTATCCAGAGTATACTCAACGATTTCACCATGGCAACTCCTCTAGCCCAATATCCCACGGATTGCTGTCAAACTTTCCCTTGAAGTTCCAGATCCGCCCACTGCTCTTCCCCTTCGTGGCCCCATCCATCCGCCACAGAGTCTTCCACACTCACTGGCACCTGTGGCAGGTCGTTCAACACTGCACCTCGGTTCCCCATGTCCGTGGTCACCCACCTGGGCGCGATCATGAGCGCAATGAGAGCGCGGGGTGCTTCTTGTTGAGTGCATTTACGCCGCCTTGGAGGAGGCGTATGCGGCCACCTGGAGGCGCATATACCAGGCCATGGAGGAAGTGGCACTGGAGATGAAGGCAAAGGTCGGCGCGCCCGTGGACGACGCGAGGAGCAGCGTGTATGCTGCCTGGAAGAGGACAACGGTGCCGAAGGTGTTGACCTCCCAGTGTTCACGGAACGTGGATAGTGGCGTCGTGGCAATTGAGTCGTAGTAGTTTGAGATTCTTGGGAAGAAGCGACATTGGTTCCCATCGGATAACATCTGGCAGACGATACTGAGCTGCATTAGGGATAATAACATCAAGCTGTCCCGCGATCCTCTGGAAATCTGTAATGGCAGCGGCTTTATCGCCCGCCATGAGCTGGACGTTGGGATTCTTTGCTGACAATTCCTTCAGGGACTGTGCAGTGAGGTCGCGCGCACCAGAGAATACAATCGTGTTAGGTTGCGCTGCAAGTGTTGTAGCAAGGCCGTGGCTGATACCGCAGTTTGCGCCAGAAACTGGAATGGGCTTGCTGGGTGTCCTTGGTGGATGTGAGGAGCAGACACGCACTGAGGTAGACGGTCTTGGTAGACATATGTATCTACGGGCTGTGAGCGACGGATTGGTTGGAAAGGTGATTCTGTTTCAAATTCCTTTATATGTACTGTAGTATTTCGACCGTAAGTTCACGCCATGTCACCCGTCACCTACCATGTTCACTGAGTATGATGTTCAGAACTCGACCGTCACCGTCACCTCCATACCAGATGTTCAGTTAACCAAATCGGCTCATCCGGGCCTACCGAGCGCTCCAGCCTCCTGGGGCTCCTCAACGGCGATGTGAACACCGGAGAAGCAGTCTCTCCTAGACAGAGCTTCAACAAGATGAGAACTTGTGCTTTGTTTAGTGCTGGAGAAGGTGAGCCACAAATTGTACTTCGTTTATTTCAAGTTCCTTGATGTTGACTCCTTGAGACCATAGATGGACCTTGATGTCGTCCCGGGGCAAAGCTAAGACCTCTGAAGCGGAGGTGGAGGAGTCGGATGAAGAGCCAGTGGTACTCGGGCCAGCCGTAGCACTGTTAACAAGACTCCACTTGGGCGGAACACTGGTTTTTCTTTTGCCCTTCTCTACCAATTCTTTTGATTAATTTTAGCGCGGCTCAAAAATTGTTTTTGCACCTTTTCAACTCCAAAAAATAAGATGTTCATTCATTGTTCGTCACCGTCACTGGCTGCAAATAAGTTCAGTTCACAGCCCTCCGTCACCCATCACCTGAACTTACGGTCGAAATACTACAGTAGTGCTATGGCTGACTCAGTCGATTCGAACTCACCGTTGATAAGCCGCAAAATTTGTGAAACCTCAAATTTTACAAATGCATGCCATTCTGCGCTCATCCAGTGGTTGGTGTGAGCTCCAAACATGCAACCAAGAGCCATATTGCATTATCATCCTAAACACTGGCGCCTATGGCTTATTCCAGGAGACGACACCCTTGGATCACTAGGGGTCAGATCCGGATTAAGGCTTAAAGCCCAGATATCAAAGTCCTGAAACACCCTCTATACGTGGGAAGGCAACCACAATGCTCACTACCAAAGGGAGAATCATAATATCCACCTCTGACATCTATTGGGACACTGGGAACCTTATTCGGGAGGAAATGCTGAGTTGATTACACAACTTTGGCTTATCCAACGCGACGCGACAAGTCACAGGATCAAGGCCTAGACTCAATATTGCTATTTTAAACACCAGGTCCGTGAGGACGCAATCACCCGATAAGCTGCAGACCGGGACTAAGCACGTACTATGTGTTCCTGGATGTCAATTAAGGACATCTGGGGTATCGTTGGAAAGGGAATAACCTATACTAACCAACTAGCGATACTAGAAGTCGGGGCACACACAACAGAGGAAGATATGGGCCAATTACCCTGTCTAAGGGAATAGTGGAACATATAATCCCCTGATTGACAAAGGGTTGTCGATCACCGGATAAACTGCCGACCAGGATTAGGCATGTACTGTGTATTCCTGGATGTCGATTAAGGACATCTGGGGTATCGTTGGAAAGGGAACAACCTATATTATCTAACTAGCAATACCAGAAGTTGGGGGACAGACCATAGAAGAAGATATGGGCCAATTACCCTATTCAGGGGATATTTGGACATATAAACCCCTAATCCATGAGGGGTTGAAGGAGTCATTATACAAACATTTAGGAGGCTAGGAACGCCAGGGTGCGCACAGCTGATACCGATCACAGGCTAATTAATTAAGTAGAATACCCGAGGCCTAGTAATCACGTGTATGTAACAGTTTCTGTACAGTATATAAGTATATAAGGAGGGCAGAACCAGGGAGGACGGCACCGAACTAGACCTGGAGAGTGAGGAGCAATAAAGCCCTTGCGCACAAAGTCGAAGTTTGGGCTTGACTCTTTGGCTGTCAACAGGCCTCAGAATTCAAGTTTGGTTTAGGAATAACAAAAGGACCGAACTAGACCCGGAGAGTGAGGAGCAATAAAGCCCTTGCGCATAAAGTCGATGTTTGGGCTTGAATCTTTGGCTGTCAAATAGCCTTGGAATTTAAGTGCGGTTTCGGAATAAGACTTTGTTTGAGGCGCGAGCCATTGTTACGGGGCGTGAGCCATTGTTACGGGGTGTGAGCCATAGTCTGAGGCGCAAGCCATTGTTACGGGGCGCGAGCCAATCATTGTCGGAATAAGGCACAAGCCAACAAAACCGGGTCTAAACAGCCCACAAAACCAAGCCGGTTCACAGCCGTTATCTTTGCATAGTTGGGACACTTAAATCCACGTTGGGAACCAACCGATAAATTCAGGTTGTGTCTTGAACACCACTTCGAGAAAGCTAGTTGAGACTTAGCCATCCTTGGGGGAACGGGAATTGAATACTTTCGTGACAAATACGTTTACTCGTGGTTTCCTTGGACCTACACTTGTGTCTAAAAAGACCTGAATCTCGTCAGTGTATCTTGGTCGTCAAAAGAGTGTGTGGTGTTGGAGTCTGTCTACCGTCGATTTAGTCGTGCTTAATCTCACTTTGTGAGTTAGGTGTAACTCAGTCGTTTTTGGCAGTTGCATTATTCTGACCATTGAACCTGAGCAACCGTTTCACCGTCCCTGCCAGAAGGAAGCCTAAGGGTAGCGGGCTGCGCAGCCTCTCGACCGGACGGTGACGCGTTGCTGTCGCGGCAATACTACGCGTCTCGGTGCCGCGTTCGAAAAATCAGCGAGAACACGGATTGATGAAGTCCACGTGACCGCGTCGCGTCGCGAGGCATACCTAGTACTATAGGCTAGTAGTATTCATTGGTCCGGTGGTGTAGTTGGTTTATCACATCTGCTTCACAGGTCGTTCGACTGGAAAATAACTGGGCATATTTACTTGTATCGCAGGCGGTCCTCGGTTCGATCCCGGGTCGGATCAGTTTTTTCTCTCTCTGTGTTTCTTACCCTATTCCCTATTCCTTCGAATCCTGACATCATTGACAATAATCACCGCTCGCATCTGCACCATACCACTCTGCATTATCGATACAACCACGATCGCGCTCTCTTTTGCCCCACTTCCCAGACCGCTGTCGATTTTATTTCGTCTCTTACATATATTGTTATCTTCCTCAATCCCAAATCCGTAGCCTTATATACCCTGGTACCTACTCTGTAGGTCCTGCTGCGTAGCCATATGGCCAGGTACAGCACATTAATAGAACTCCAGTTCCAGTTCCAGTTCCATACATTATTTATTCGAGCTTCGTTTCGAATATGTATGGTCTCGTAAAGTCTAGATAGACCAAAATTTCTTCTCGTACCCCCTAATCTGACATACTTCCACAGGGTTTGTATCCCCCGCTTCGTGTAACCCTTCATCGGAAATCAACTCCGCTAATTCTTGTGTGTTGGGTTTTTTGTACGAATTAATTGCGGACATCCCATATTTGCGATAGAATGTCAGTACGATAGGTGGGTGGGTAGTTTCGACATAGAGGCAGAGAGAGAGAAAAAAATGACCACCCGAACCCAGTAATTTGAACAGCGCGTCCGAGGATGGATGCATTATATCCTGTTCATTATCGGTTCCAATTGAACATGCACAAAATCTATCGGCATATACTGAATTCCATAGCCGATGAACTTGCGCGATGAACTGAGGCTCGCTTGAAGGAATCCACAGTAATTGTCATTACATTATCGTTGTACATTATCGTTGTATCTTCTCTTCCAGGAATCGATGTCCTGCAAATTATAATTACAGCTTCACATTGACCAAAACTCAGCCTTCACCGCCCTTCGGCTGTTTCCTGCTGCGGTGTCTCTCTCTCCCCCTGACCCTGGCCCATACCCCCTGCTGCAATGCTCTTCTTCTGCGCCTCCCTCTCCTCCGGTGCGATATTAACATTCCAATGCTTCTCCGAGATGCACTTGAACAGCAGGCTCGCGGGCTGGTCTTGCATGCGGCACTGCGGGAAGTTGTTCGGCTTGTCGGAGAGGACGGCGTCCGGGAAGGGGCCGATCTGTGTGTATGAGTTCAGTATACATGCGCCAAATATTTCATTTCTAGAGCACGCACGAGGTGGCTTGCTGCGAATACATCGGTGTTGATGGGCGCGGCCGCGGCGGGGCGGAGCGCAAAGACGAGCGAGAAGCGGTGCGCGTCGGCAGGCGCTGGCGTGGGGGGCGGGAGGACGGAGACGCGATGCACGCCCGAGGCGTACAGCCCGCGCGTAAGGTACGACAGCGTCTGTCCCGCGAGGAGCGTCGCCGTCAGTCGCCCCGGCGCGCCGTCCTCGACGCTGACCCACTGCCCCGTGGCGGGATCGCGCGCGTCGAGCCCAGGCGACTGGCCCACGACGAGTGTGAGGATGCCGAGGTCCTTGTGCGCCTCCGCAACGACCGCCTTGCTGGTCGGCGTGCCGCGCGGCGGGCGGTCGTACCGGAACAGGCGCAGGAGGCTGGATGCGCGTTTTTCTTGGGGGAAGCCGCCCGTTTCCGGATCCGGATCCGCCTCCGCGGACATGAGGTCGAACGCGTCGAGGTTCTCGAGCTCGAGGCTCTCCGCGATGTTGCGGACCGTGTCGATGAAGAGCTTCCCGGTGGCGGTCCAAGCCTCCGTCGCTGCATCGCGCAGCAGTTCCGGCATTCCAGAGACTCGGCGTAACGTTATCAACTGTTTCTCGCCAGGAATATCGGCGAACCCCTCATCGGACGCGCTTTTGCCTGGGGGGGCCGCAAATTTGGTCTTATCGGGCGAATCCGGGTCGAGCGCGAAGAAGGCGGCCGACTGGGCGAAGAGGTGGGTATAAATGGACTCTAGATCTGGAGGTAGAGGGACGGAGAGCCAGCCGCGAGATGCAAGAGGGACGAGAGAGTTCCGGACAAAGGTAGATAGTTCAGTTGCGTTCTGTGGGGGTCCTGGAGGTGTTGCGTACATCTGGGGGGGTGGTCCAGGTGGGGGCGCATACCGTACGCCTGTATGGAGGCTTGGAGGAGGACCAGGAGGAGGTGGATATCTGACTGTGGTCATGGTACAGAGTAAAGAGCAGTAGCACAGGTGGCGCAGTTTGATCCGGCACTGCCAACATTAAACAACCACAAATACGTTGCTCTCGACCAATCTCGACCTTGGCTGGATTTCAGCTCTGAGTTCGCTGACAATGCCTTTTATTCATACCGCGTATAACACATGACCACCATGATCAACATTCTCTTTTTTTTTTTTTTTTTTGGAGCGTTTGGGATAATGAATGATCAACATTCTCTGTTCAACCACTGGCAGCGAGCTAAACTCAAAGCAGATTCGAAGTTGATTCGGGGAACAGTGGGATTCAAACTACCACTTGATTGAATGTTTCAGCGGAGAAGCTCGAGAACCCACTTGGACATCGAAGAACTTACCATGAAAAGTATCCTTCCACTGCCAGCCGGCCTTTTCCTATCCTATCCTGTCCGACATATTTCTCGGTCGTGCCTCGCCGTATTAATACATCAAACACGAAACGCCCTGCAGATCCGATATCAAGAGAATTCAAGGACATATCATGAAGATCATCATGATCTTCGAAGATCCCCCGCCCCGTGTCGTCATTAATTTCAATCGAAAATAACACGTTCCCAGTTGATATATATCACATCGTTGCCTGGCCCCGCGTGTCGTCTCCGCTATCGCAATCCTACATGAGCGCCGCATCCGAGCGTCCCCAGGGCCTACTTGTTGTGTACACCGACCCCGGACCTGATTTCCCGCTCGAGGGATTCAACGGTGGGTCACTACATTTATCGCTTCTCCTCAGCTCCTGCCAGGCCTAAAACGCTGACCGGCGGCGAACATGTAGCCTGGAACGACGCCGAATATGAGAGATGCATCGCACTCGACGAGGTACACACGGGCATCCGGTACAAAGCCATCGACGGGCTGCACCCCGCGTGGCTTGCGCTGTACGAGACCGCGTCCCCAGACCTCCCGCCCTCAGACGCGCCTCCGCCGCCGGACCTCCCCACATTCAGCCGCAGCACCTACACCCTCCTCTCCACCCACACGCACCCACATACGCGGCCGACAGACCTCCCCGCCGCTTTCATCTACCTTTCTGGCGTGGAGATCGCACCCGCGGCCGAGGCGGCGTTCGATACGTGGTACGCCGGCGAGCACGCCGATCTGTTTGCCAAAGTGCCCGGATGGCTGCGCATGCGGCGGTATCGGCTCCATGCGCACGAGGAGCTTTCGCGGCTGCACGGGAGCAAGGAGCTTGGTGCTTACCACGGGAACAAGGAGAGCGGCGTGGAGCAGGCACCCCCGCGCCACCTCGCAATCCACGAGTTCACCAACGCCGAGTTTGCGGACACGCCCGAGTTTGTGGCGTTGACGGAGACGGCGCGCGTTGCGGAAATGAAGAAGTCGTTCCTGGGCTTGGAGTTTCGGGTGTTTGAGCTCCAGAGGTCTGGTGATGACATTTGAATGGAAATAATATTAATTCAAGACTGGTGTCGGAGATATTAAAATCAGAACAGAATCAGGGAGGGTTTTTTTTTTGAGCGAGACGGATGATAGTACTTGAGAGGTTTCCACCGGATACGTTCTCGAAGCTAAAAGAGGCGCTATAATCTGAGTGGAGATGAGTTGAGAGCTTGTTCCGCATGGACAGGAAATTGAACGCGGCGCAAGATATAACCAAAAAGCGATGGAAATGTGCCGCATCAGATTTAGAGTCCAGGCTCTACGTTGCCATTTTCCCTCCCGCGATCTGGTAAACTTGACCTATAAAATTGATTACCTGGATCCAGGTGCGTGCACAAAATATGATTGTATGCTTTTTGATTTCTCCTTTTCATTCGAGTCATGATAAATCGAAGTTCATGTCAGTCGGCATTTTCCGAAATGCATACCGCTCAACGACCGCGCGTCACGTATAAATTAAAATGGACCCAACGAGGTCTATCCAACCTGATGTTTGATTGCCCTCCTAACCCCTGTCAAAAATTGTAGTCTGTGTTCCACTACGTGCATTATCAATGCCCAACTTCAGCTCGCGTGATTTAACGTAGCAGTGCAAACGATCCGGATCCATTGGGCCGATAACCCTAGTGGCTTTATCGACTCTGTATACATTCTAGCCAAGACAGAGCATGATGCACAACTGCTGTATAAAAAGGCAATAAACCTAATGAATCTCCGTTCCTTCTCTGTCCGCCGTCTGCATCAACGCACGCAGGAGAGCCTCCACCTGCGAAGGCTGGAGCGTGTTAATAATGCTCGCAATGCGTCGCACCCCATCGTGCAATCTCAAGCTCGTCGTGCGGAGGGGGATCACCATCTCATAAGGCGACTGGCCGAGCCTAAAGCGCATAACATGCAGCGCCATCCTCCCGTCGGCACGCGCCACGCGGTCCCATGGTGCCGTTATGTGCTCGTCCGCATGATGCATCTCGGCCTTAGAGCAGACTTGGAACTTAACGCCGCTTGCGCTGGTGTAGTCGAAGTACACAAAAACGGTCTCAGCTGGTTGTTGGTTCATGAACCCGAGTGTGAGTAGCAGGATTTCAAACCGCAGCCGTTGATAGTCCGCGTGCAGGAGTGCACGCATAAAAGCCCGCTCCCGGGTGTGGATACCGTAAGCTGAACGGAGGCCGCATATTCAATGAATGCTTGGAGGACAAGCGTAATTCTCACCGAGGTGAGTGGATCGGAAGGTGTCGCAGGTGTTCCGATGTCTATCCAGCCAATCAACACGCTGGCATTCGCTGGAACAGTAGCTAGCACTGTGGCACGCGGAACAACGTCTGAACCTATCCTTCTTGTTGATCTTGTTACACTATCACATTCATCAGAGCGGTCGTTGAAGTTGCGAGACCTTCTACCTTCATATTGTCGCATGCGAGGAATGATGGTCTGCCAGCGGACTCCCAGGTATCCAGCACCTTCACGCGTTC